TTGAAATTACAAAGGAAACAATTATAGTTAGTTTGAGAAATTTCAAAATATACCACTTTTCAAGTGTCACTTTACAAAAATGTCACACTTTTGAAATCTTTACAAAAATGTCACTTTTTCAAAATTATTTTTTCTTTATATTGTTTATGTTTGAGTTAATTATGTTCTATTAGGGTTTAGTTATGAGGGTTTAAGGGGGTTTAGGGGTCAAAACATTTTTTAGTGTTTAATATTTTAAAATATAGGATTTAAAAATCTATAATTAATGACATTCCCTTAAATAACATTTTTAGAAATATGCACATAACAAATGACATTTTTGCAATTTTTCTTTATACTTTCAGGAAGTTATTATAGATGAAACGAGTTGAAGGAATATTTTCAACAAAAATCATTGAAAGTTTCAATTTGATTTTTGGGGCAAGAAAAGAGATAGGTGTATATACTTGGTCTGATACCAGTGGACCATTACTTTTTTGTTCTTTCACACAATTTTGTTCATCAATACTTATTACTTTTCATAAGAATTTGGAATCTTTTTGGATCAAAACACTATGAATTAGAATCTTAGACTTGGCCCATCACTCGGTCAAAAGATGGTCTTTAAGTATGTTCCAAAAACTTCAAACCTCAGAATGCCATCTCCACGAAAAATAATCAACGTTTTTTTTTAATGAATATATATTCAAACAAAAACTTTTGTACTATAGATGTTATTTTAGTCTAAAAAAAAAATTTGAGATTTGGATTAGAACATCAAACTTTGCAAAATCAGAGAAACAGACTTATGGTATGACTTATGGAGATTGCGCGGCAAACCACGTAGTAATCAAGTCAAAACATATGTTATGAGCATATTGCAATTTATTTAGCTATTTATTAACAATTTGTCAATCAACGTTCGAGACATTAGTTTGATGGTGTTTACATTCTATAGATAAATTTATTATTAGTATGAAAACATGGTTCTTTTAAATGAATTCACAAACACACACAAAAGAAGCCCTAATTCCATGTGCAATAATCCACGAAAATAGACACAAATGAAAGTGGTAGCTAAATTTTGGATAATTTCATTTACGTTATATAAATGAAAAATTTCAAAAAATGTCATTTTTCAAGTGCCAATTTACAAAAATGCCACACTTTTGAAATTTTTACAAAAATATCACTTTTTCAAAATTATTTTTTCTTTATATAATTTATTTTTGGGTTAATTATGTTCTATTAGGGTTTAGTTATAAGGGTTTAGGGAGTTTTAGGGGTCAAAACATTTTTTAGGGTTTAGAATTTTAAGATATAAGCTTTATAAATTTATAATTAGTGGCATTTTTGCAAATGAACACCTTTAAATGGTATTTTTGTAAATATGCACACAAAAAATGATATTTTTGTAATTGCCCCTATATAAATTAGGCAACGCAAACTTATGGGCACAAATGCAACATGCCAACAGTAAAACAAATGCATGGGAAAAGTAAACCTTATCTTCAGCGTAAATAAGATAAGATAAGATGAGCTTTGAATAGTTCACAAATTTGCGTTTCATTACAATAATTTTGTGCTTTCTGAATTTTTGTCGCAATTATATTTTATTATTATTAAATCAAACAAATAGATTTTTAGTGTTTTTCTTTCAGAACTTTTTTTTATTCTAGTGTTGCAAATTTTTCTTAGAGCATTTCCATTACGGGTCTCTCATAAGATATCTTAT